ACTCATCCTCCTCGAGAACTACCCAATTATCACGGAGGTCAACAGTGTCGAAGTCTCCACAGCCCCACCCGTCGACCCTTCTTCAATCGAAGAAATAATACCAGACAACATTCCTATAGCCGATCTTCGGGCGCTCTACCACGCTATGATACCGTTCAGCTCCGTTTTCACATGGGCAGACCAGGCCATCGGTCGGACCAACAGCGTGGAGCACCGAATAAACACCGGCACCGCTCCTCCGCAACACCTCCCGCCCCGACGAATTACGTTTCACTTCAGGGCGGAACTAGATAACCTGGTGGAGAACATGCTCCAACAAGGGATTATACAACCATCCTCTTCCCCATGGGCAGCACCGGTAACTATGGTTAAGAAGAAAGACAATTCTCTGCGGCTCTGCGTCGACTACAGGCGACTGAATGCAGTCACCGTCAGAGACTCCTTTCCCCTGCCTCGCATGGACGATCTCCTAGTATCTATGTCCGGGAAGAAATTCTTCAAAACCCTCGATCTGTCTTCAAGCTATTGGCAGATTGAAGTACACCCGGAAAATCGAGCCAAGACCGCCTTTACCCTACCATCAGGACTATTTGAGATCAACACGTTACCCATGAGTTTGGCTAACACGGTGGCGACTTTTCAACGGCTCATGCAAAGAATACTGCAAAATATATACCCATTTAAGTGCCTCGTGTACTTGGACGACGTTATAGTGTGGGGAGCCACTGTGTTCGAACTCCTGGAGAATCTGTCAGAGGTATTGACGAGATACCAAGAGGCCGGATTGACTCTCAACCCCAAGAAGTGCAAGTTCCTTCAAACAGAAATTCGATTCCTCGGACACATCGTTAGTAGCCAAGGACTCACGACCGACCCCGACAAGGTCCAGGCCGTGACGGAATGGCCACAGCCAGCAACTGGAGACGAGGTCCGCTCATTCCTTGGTTTGGCAGGCTTCTACAGGGCCCTTATTCTGTCATATTCCCGCATCGCTTTCCCTCTTACCAGGCTCATGGAAAAGACGCGGCCATTCCTGTGGACAATCCAGTGTGAAACCGCTTTCGGCCACCTAAATGAAGCCCTCACCGCCGCACCAATCCTCACGTTCCCGGACCTAAGCAACAACTGTACCCCGTTCATATTGGACACATACGCCAGTGCCCACGCGATCGGCGAAGTGCTATCCCAAACAGATGCCGAAGGTAGAGAACATGTTATCCAATACGGCAGTCGTACCCTCGATACACATGAACGCAATTATAGTGAAACACGTCGAGAGATGTTGGCTCTGGTCAACTTTTCCAAGAAATTTGCGGTGTTCCTTAGAGGAAAACCGTTTACCATCAGGACGGATCATTCAGCCCTTCAGTGGCTAGATAGTTTCCATGAACCTGAAGGACAAACAGCGCGGTGGCAGGAGATGATGGCGGACTTCGAATATAAGGTCGTACACCGCCCTGGGAAACAACACCTCAATGTCGATGCCTTATCGCGCATTCCCATGCGCGAACCCCACAGCTGCGCAGAGTGTCAGGACC